CCAGACTCTCAGGGACAGATCCTGGGTCCTGCCTTCCCTGAGCAGGAGTCAGACCAGCAGACACATGAGACCCTGAGGCTCAGGTGAGACCTCAGACACTGCTGACCAGCCTCCTGAAACCTGGACGCCCGGTGAGCCTCATTCTGGGAAGATGCAGAACCAGGCCCAGGGCGGGGCTGTTTCCTTGCTGTGGCCTGTGGTAATCCCGAAGGGTTGCAACAGCCTTTAACACGTCACATCCTGTGAGACTCTGTTCTGCAGGCTCAGGCTTCCTCCATCTGCAGAGCATGAGCCCTCAGAGCAGACGCCATGGCGTCCATCCTCTCTGTTCTTCTCTGCCTCGGTTAGTTGTGGACATGGGGAGGGGGAGAAGGAGGGGCAGCTGCATCCTCTTGTTCATGGGGAACCTCAGGCTCAGGCAGCTCGAGTGGATGGGGCCCTGATGGGAGGGAAATCAGCTCAGATGTCTGGGTGCAAACCTCTCACCGACACTCTCTTACCAGGGCTGAGTCTGGACCAGGTCATTTGTGTGCAGGCAGGTGAGTCCTCCCCAGGCTCCATGTCCCTCCTCTTACTTCACTCCTGGGGCTCAGGAGGGAGCACAGAGGTGCTGGGTTGAGGTGATAGAAGAGGAGTTTCTAGCGCTACGCTAGGAAATGAAGGTGGGGAAGGTCTTGGTCATACAGCCTCTGGTTTCCTTCCAGGGACCCTCCTCAAACCCACCATCTGGGCTGAGCCAGCCTCTGTGATGTCCTGGGGGAGCCCCGTGACCATCTGGTGTCAGGGGACTTTGGAGGCCCAGCAGTTCTGTTTTGAGAAACTGGGAAGCACATTACCGGCATGTGGAGCAAATCTACTGCATCTGATGGACAGGGGCACGTTCAGCATCACAAACCTGACAGAGAGTGGTGCTGGGATATATCGCTGTTACTATCGCAGCCCTGCTGGCTGGTCAGAGCGCAGTGACCCGCTGGAGCTGGTGGTGACAACAGGTGAGAGGACACTCAGGGGTCCAGGCTCAGTTTTTGCCCTCAGGAAGGGGGTCTGCTCTCAGGGTGTCTCCCTCTCACAGCCCAGCCCTGGGGGACATGAGGGAGGTGTGAGCCCATGTAACATGCTGCCTCCTTCTCTCCTAGGAACCTACAGCAAACCCAGGCTCTCAGCCCTGCCCAGCCCTGTGGTGACCTCAGGAGGGAACGTGACCCTCCAGTGTGGCTCATGGCAGGGATTTGACAGGTTCATTCTGACTAAGGAAGGAGATCACAGGCTCT